CCCCTTCAGGAGCCCCTTGGGTGCCCCCCCGCCCCCCGCTCACCGGTTGAAGAGGTGATTGTTCACTTTGATTTTGGAGCTGGCCTTGAAGTCGTCGGGCAGCAGCATAACGGGGGGCGGCACCTGGCTCAGCTCGTTGATCTGCGTGGGGAGGGGGGGGGGGGGAGGGGGTTGGAGGCTCCCGGCCCTGAGACCCCCGCCAAAGCGCCTGGGGAGCCAGCGCTGCGGTACGGGGAGGCCGCAGGGAGCCCCGGGCCCGGTGGGAGCCGGTTGGGCCTGGGGCCGGTCCCGTTATTGCAGGGCCGTACCTGGTGGTTGACGCCCCAGGCCAGCACGGCCAACAGCGGATCGGCCGCCCGCGGCACCTTCACCCGCTGTGGCACGAAGCGCTTCTGCTTCTTTTTGGTCTTGGTGCGCGGTGCCGCCGGTCCCGCCGTCGCCGCCGCCGCCATGGCCGCCCGATTCCGCCCGCCCCACTTCCGCCCGCCCCGTTGAGGCGACGGAAGCGGGAGGCCCGGGACCGGAAGTAGCCCCCTTCGCGCGCCCCCCCTTGCAGACTCAATACGCATGCGCCGAGCGGACCGGAGCTAAGTCACGTGGTGCCTGGCGGTGCTCTCCCTAAAGGGGTCCGGGTACTTCCTCTGCGCTCCGTGCGCTCCTATGGGGTTCCGCGGTCACTTATAGGGTTTCGTGCTCTTCCTATAAGGATCTTTGCGTTCTTATAGGGCTTGGTGCGCTCCTGTAGGGTTTCGCGCTCTGCGGTAGGGTTTCATGTGCTTTCTGAAGGGTTTTGTTTTATTCTGTAGGGTTTCGGGTGCTCCTATAGGGTTCTGTGCCCTCCTATAGGGTTCTGCGTGCTTTCTGTAGGGATTCATGTGCTCCTATAAGGGTCCGTGTGCAGCTATAGGGTTCCACATTCTCCTATAGGGTTTTGTGTGCTCCTGCAGGGGTCCACGGTCTCCTATGGGGATCTGTGGGCTCCTATAGGGGTCCATGTTTTCGCATACAGGGCTCTGTGTTCTCCTATAGGCGTCCATCTGCTGCTACAGGGGTCTGTGTTCACTTACGGGGTTCTGGGTGATCCTATAGGGCTTTGTGTGCTCCTATAGGGGTCTGTGTACCCCCCAAAGGGTTCCAAGTACTTTCTATGAGGGTCCGGCTGTTCCTATATGGATCTGTGCTCTTCCATAGAGTTCTGCATGCTCCTGTAGGGTTCCGTGTGCTTCTGTAGGGTCCCAGGTGCTCCTATAGGGGCCTGGGTACATCCTGTCGGTGCCTGTGTGTTCCTATAGGGGTCCACGTGCTCTCCATATGGATCCAGAGGCTCCCTACAGGAGGCTGTGCTCTGTGGGCTCCGTGTTCCCCCTTGGGGTCCTGTGAGGTCTGTGTGCGCCCTACAGAATCCTGCTGTGCTCTCTATAGGGTGACGTGTTCCCCACAGAGGTCCCTATAGGGCTCTTTGCTCTCCCTATAGGGCTCCGCGTGCACCCTGGGGTGTCCACGTAATCCCTAGAGCTGGTGTGTGCTCCCTGTAAGGCTACCCATATGGTGCCCTATAGGCCCTGTACTCCCCATGTGCTCCCATAGGGTCCCATGTGCCCCTATAGACCCCATAAGCTCCCCATAGGGCTGTCTATGTCCCCTATAGGCCCTGTGTGCCCCCTATAGGGTGCCCTATGCACCTATAGCTCTTGTGCCCCCCCGTAGGTGCTGTGTGATCCCCATAGGGTCCCGTGTCCCCCTATAGACCCTGTGAGCTCCCCATAGGGATCCCCCTACACCCTATAGGCCCCGTGTGCCCATATAGGGTGCCCTATGCCCCCTATAGCCCCTATGCCCGTTATAGCCCTTGTGTGTCCCCCTATAAGGTGTCCCGTTCCCCCTATAAGTCCTGTGTGCCCCCTATATGCCCCACGGTCCCTCCCCATAGAACTCCCTGTGTCCCTATAGGTTCTGTGCCCCCTGTAGGCTCTGTGCTCCCCATAGGGCCCCACGTGTCCCCTATAGGTTCCGTGTGCTCCCCATAGGGTCCTGGGTGCCCCCTATAGGCTGCCCGATGCCCCTATAGGCCCTGTGCCCCCCCGTAGGTGCTGTGTGCTCCCCATAGGACCCCACGCGTCCCCTATAGGCACTGTGTGCTCCCCATAGGGTCCTGGGTGCCCCCCGTAGGCCCTCTGCCCCCTATGGGCCCCGTGTGCCCCCTTTGCCCCCCCCCCCCC